AATGTCCATGCCGTAAGAAATAAGCCCTCAGGGATAAAAATGACAAGTATATGTATATTCCCGACAAATAATTATAATTACCAAATTTGTTTATTATGTGTACATGAATGTATATTGTATAACCATTACAACTGTATATAACTTTTTATATTTATAATCTCAGTTAACTAAATTCGATTGTCCTGGTGATGTTCACGCCACGAACTGATATTAATAAATGACACGTTTTCACAGCGACCGATTGATAATATAAGACAAATCTGCATGCCGTGTGCAGAGTGTCGTCCCTCCTCTATAATGAGCCTAGGAGATTAAGCCCCATTGCTGCCACCAGGAGCCTTCCATCTTAACAAGCCCAAGAGATTAAGCCCTCTGGCTGGTATCAGGAGATTTTCATCTTAATGAGCCCTGGAGATTAGCGCTCTCGCTTGTACCAGGACCACCCCTACCTTAATAAAACCAGGAGATTAAGCCCTCTAGCTGGTACTAGGGGCCATCCATCTTAATGAGCTTAGGTAATGTAGCCCTCTGTCTGGTACCAGGAGACTTCCATTTTAATGAGCCGAGGAGATTAGCCCTTTGCCTGGTACAAGGAGCCCTCCATCTTACTGAGCCCAAGAGATTAAGACCTCTAGCTGATACCAGATCGATCGATCTTCATCTTACTGAGCCCAGGGGATTAAGACCTCTGGATGGTACCAGGAGCCCTCCATCTTAATGATCCCAAAAGATTAAGCCCTCTCGCTGGTACTAGGATCCCTCAATCTTAATGAGCTTTGGAGATTAAGCCCTCTGGATGGTACCAGGACAGGTATAGAAAATGAAATTTGATAATCAGTTATATGTTAAACATGATATAATGTTTAATACTGAATGCTAACCTAGTTTGATAAACATTAATTAAAGATATACTGTCAATTCCATACTTCCTTTTAAAAATTTCCTTGTATATTTCATTCACAGAAAGTTACATTTTATTTTATAATTTCAATTTCAAAGAAAAATGGTAATAGAAAATTTTAGTTGAGATAAATTAGAATGGAATAGTTAATAATTTACTATTATCACCTTTTTTGGCAAGATTCACTCTGAACTTGATCATACTATATAATTGCATGTTATGATCTTAGTGAGACAGGCAGATATATCCAGACTTGTAGCCATAGGGGTTATATGGGGTAATGATGCTTTGACTTAAATAGTAAAAAATTCAATCTCAATTTTGACTTTAATTGTCTATTAGTTAAGTCTAATATTTTTTTCATGGAAAGATGTTGGTTTAGGGGGTAATGGTTTGTTGTTTTCTTTCTTTCTTTTTTTTTTTTTGGTGGGGGGGGGGGGGGGCTTCATCTGCACTGGCTACATGTGTGATATCATTGCTTTGATAATTGATTATTACAGAAATAAAGAATATTATGAACTTCAAAGTGTTTATTGAGATGTAAAAACAAATGGTTTCTGGATGAATGTTTGAGTATTCCTTTATCTTCAAGACTTTCAACTTAAATCAATCTATTAGATGTGATTGCCATACAAACTAATAATAATAAGATAATATTACCACCATCCCTGTACATCAATTTTATAAAATACCAGAAAAATGAGAAGTAAAAAGTTTCTGTCTACTTTTGGATGTGAGTTAAAATATGTGATCCACAGATCAAATTGTCCCTTGTATCAACCCTACATCCTAATAAGTCCAGGAGATTAAGCCCTCTGGTTGGCTCCAGGGCTGATATAAAAAATGCAATTTGATAATAAGTTATATATATAACATGATAAACTGTTCCTGAATGGTGTGCTAGCTATATATATAGATGGATAATAAATGTTATGAAAAATATTGAGTTTCTTTCCTACTTCCTTGAAGAAATTTCCTAGTATATTTCATTCATTGAATTCAAATTTTGTTTTAAATTTTCAATTTCTAAGAAAAAATGATGAATGAAATATTTAGTTTAGATTAATAAAGTATGTAATCATGACTGGCTAGTTACATGAGTGATTTCATTGCTATAGTCATTGATTATTACAGAAATAAAGAATAGTAGGACAGAGTTTAATGATAATTAAATTAAGCCTTCTCCCTCACAAACTAAATTTCTTAATCTTAAAATAATGTTAAGTTTGAGAGAGAAATGCCAATACACATAGATTTACTTTGCTAAAAAACCTTTTCTACACATTATTCCAACAAAATGGACTTAAACCTATGTCAACAGTTTGTTTTTAATTTTGATGTTGTTTATAGAGTTTTTAAATTAAGATAGGATCAAGTGAACTGTTTGGTCCTTTATATAAACTTATGAAGGGTACAACATGTGAAGCAGGATCTGCTTACCCTTCCAAAGCACCTGATATCATCCCCCAGTTTTTGGTTAGGTTGGTTTTGCCCAGTCTTTAGTTTTCTATGTTGTGTTTTGTGTACTGTTATTTGTTAGTCTTTTGATTTTTTAGCCATGGCGTTTTCAGTTTATTTTCGACTTATGATATAAAATAAGAAGATTCAGTATGATTGCCAATGAGACAACTCTCCACAAGAGACCAAATGACACAGAAAATAGCAACTATAGGTCACCATACGGCCTTCAACAATGAGCAAAACGCATACGGCATGAGTTTGAAGGTCCCTTTGGTATCTTTCACCTCTCTTTTATTCTACATGTTCTAAGAGGTTATCAATTTTACAGTAATTTAAAAAGTAAGTTGTCTTTATTATGATAATAACATTGATTTATATGCTGCTCCCCAAATATTTTTCAGCATATGAAGAGATCATTTTGCCAGTCCCTCTGTCAAGTTCAGTCTTCCCTGAACAAATAATTGATGGATGATTATTTGATTATTTCCTGCTTTATTATTTTAAATTTTATTCAAATGGAAGATATTGGGTACGGGAAGAAGCAGAGTGATTTTCTAATATAATATAATATAATATAATATAATATAATATAAGATTGTTTTTGGAGATAGTTTTTAGATGGTTTCTGCAGTTACTCTTACTTTATTGAAATGATACTTATATATTAAAGGAAGGAGAAGACGGGCTCAATAGGTCAAAGTTTAAGGTCTCTGTTAGTTAAAATGGGAAAATTAAATAAAAAATGATTACTGCAGGTGGTAACCTGACTTTTTCTTGCTGGATTTGAATGAAACTTATACAGATTGACAAGACAGGGATTTGGTAAACCTGAGGTTGTCACTGTAACTAAAACAAAGACAACAATTGGTTTCAAGATGGTATCCAACCAGGAATTGTAATCAATTCATACTGGTGAAAAATTAGCCATAATCATGATAATAAAACATATCTATTTGTCCCTCTAGACATAGTAGTGTTTTGTACTTTTGAAATAAATGTTTTCTATCGTTACATGTACAGGTCATGAATACTAGTGTCAGCTTTTATTTACTTGTTTATATCTGTAGTGTGTGCTCTAACACAAAATGTATCAGTCTGTCATTTTAAACTAAGCCCTTTAATTATACCCTCGATTTAAAAAAGTCCCCCGCTTTAAAAAGTGGGGTATACTGTTTTACCTCTGTCTGTCTGTCCGTCCGTCCGTCCGTCCCATGAATATTTTTCGACGCATCTTTCTCAGGAACTACATCATAAGGATTTCTGAAATTTGGTTTCAGGGTTTATATAAGTCAGCTTATATTGTGTGATGCATTTTCAGATTCATCACTCAACAACTTCCTGGGCGGGCTATCATCAGTGAGCAGTAGCTTGCAGTTTCACTTGTTGTCCAGTAATATGCATTTTATGCAATCATTTTTAAGTGTTACATTAATTTTATTATATATAGTAAAATGAGTTTAAATTTAATTCAAAATTGAAAAGTGTGTTCACAGAAGGTTTGCTCCAAAAAGGGACGGTACCTCAGATTAGTCTTTATTAGGGATGTCAGATGGTGGAGAATTACTAAAAGAGTACTTGTTGACTTTACAGAACTTTACTCAAGTAATTAACTCACTCGGAAAATATCTGTAAAATGGAAACACAGAATTATACTCATTTTGCGTATTGTGGGTCAACATTATTATCACTGATATCTAGGACTAGATAATAGTCACAGGAACTTAAATATACCATAAATAATGGCTCATTTACTACATGTACTAATAATATAAACAATAATATAATCAATAATTTAATAAACACCTATTGAAAAAGTCAAACCAGATCAAACAATATTGGTTGGTGACACCAAGAAAACACATTTTATGATTAACCATGGGGCGATGATAATTTTATTCCTTCTCTAAAGTTCACCACAGGGTGAAACAAATTTATTCTTATATAGAAATGAGTTGGTTTTTCAACTTTGTTACGTCCTAAAGATAAACAATATTTGCTCTGATGGTATATATGTGGTGGAATGGCAAAGACATGTTTAGCCAAAAGTGTAAGCTTAGAAAAGCTGCTCTTGTGCATAGCCCACCTTTTTTTTAGTGGAATTTTTAATAAATGACAATTAAGAGTAAACTTTTGAAATATATTTTAATTTTGATTAACCAAAGATAAGTATTTAACTTCACAAGAGGTGCTTTCAATAAAAATCTATTTTACTTTAACCGATTAGTTGAATATCATTTTATTTTGGTATTTGACCCTTTGAGTATTATCAAGCGATCCATTGACATCTCTAGCCTTTAGTAGTCACAAGCTTGAAAAAATGTAAATTCATAGATTATTATTGCCAAAAATTTCTTGTTGATAGATAAACAAATTATTAATAAACTTGGATTCCAATTTGCAACTCGGTCAGCATACATGTATTCTCAGGCAAAATTGAGCTTAGTTGACTAGGCATAGGCTATTAGTTTTTGGTCCCTTTTGGTCATAAAGCTCCTAAACCTTTAAGTATTTATACATCTCTGGCTTCAATTTTCTAGGTTTGAGCGTTGGAGATGGAGATAAATCAAGAAAATCGCTTCTGACACACGAAATTTAAATAGTGTTCTTTTCATTTATTCAATTTTGTTGTCTTTATTAGGCATTGAATACAGACATGTTTAAGATATTCCTGAAAAGCAGAATGTCACAGAAACAGGATTACTGGTCACAGCTAGAAGTGTTAACAAGACCACAAGTTAAAAAAGCAGGGGGATCAGACAAACTTGCCAACAGGTAAAATAAACATCTGATAGTCAGCAGGTGTAAAAAGTCTGTTATCTTATAAATGGTGGTACTGATCATAGCATCATAGCATAGGTACAATATCAGTTTCTTATAAATAAAAGGACATGTGGGGTGATCGTCAATAAATCAACAACCCAACAACAAAAATAACCATAAAACAACAGGAGGCCTGCATCATACAGTCTGTTTTATTTCATATATTTGTTTGATTTTTCATAATGCCATTAGGCTAAGAACAGCTTAAGTTTGTCTCGTGGTAGCGTGTTCACCTCAAGTACAAGAGGTTGTGGGTTCGAACCCTGGCCAGGTCAAAACAAAGACTTAAAATTGGTATTTTCTGCATTTCCGCTAAGCATGTAGAATTTAGGAGTAGGAGATATATAAGACTGGTTAGCTCGAAGTCAGAATAATGTGTCCCAGTAAGCTGACATGTATCAGTTCCAAGTCAGAATAATGTGTACCAGTAGGCTGAAATGTATCAGTTCCAAGTCAGAATAATGTGTCCCAGTAGGCTGACATGTATCAGTTCCAAGTCAGAATAATGTGTACCAGTAGGCTGACATGTATCAGTTCCAAGTCAGAATAATGTGTACCAGTAGGCTGACATGTATCAGCTCCAAGTCAGAATAATGTGTACCAGTAGGCTGACATGTATCAGCTCCAAGTCAGAATAATGTGTACCAGTAGGCTGACATGTATCAGCTCCAAGTCAGAATAATGTGTACCAGTAGGCTGACATGTATCAGTTCCAAGTCAGAATGATGTGTCCCAGTAGGCTGACATGTATCAGTTCCAAGTCAGAATGATGTGTCCCAGTAGGCTGACATGTATCAGCTCCAAGTCAGAATAATGTGTACCAGTAGGCTGACATGTATCAGTTCCAAGTCAGAATAATGTGTACCAGTAGGCTGACATGTATCAGTTCCAAGTCAGAATAATGTGTACCAGTAGGCTGACATGTATCAGTTCCAAGTCAGAATAATGTGTACCAGTAGGCTGACATGTATCAGCTCCAAGTCAGAATAATGTGTCCCAGTAGGCTGACATGTATCAGTTCCAAGTCAGAATAATGTGTACCAGTAGGCTGACATGTATCAGTTCCAAGTCAGAATAATGTGTCCCAGTAGGCTGACATGTATCAGTTCCAAGTCAGAATAATGTGTACCAGTAGGCTGACATGTATCAGTTCCAAGTCAGAATAATGTGTACCAGTAGGCTGACATGTATCAGTTCCAAGTCAGAATAATGTGTACCAGTAGGCTGACATGTATCAGTTCCAAGTCAGAATAATGTGTACCAGTAGGCTGACATGTATCAGTTCCAAGTCAGAATAATGTGTACCAGTAGGCTGACATGTATCAGCTCCAAGTCAGAGTAATGTGTACCAGTAGGCTGACATGTATCAGCTCCAAGTCAGAGTAATGTGTCCCAGTAGGCTGACATGTATCAGTTCCAAGTCAGAATAATGTGTACCTTTAGGCTGACATGTATCAGTTCCAAGTCAGAATAATGTGTCCCAGTAGGCTGACATGTATCAGTTCCAAGTCAGAATAATGTGTCCCAGTAGGCTGACATGTATCAGTTCCAAGTCAGAATAATGTGTCCCAGTAGGCTGACATGTATCAGTTCCAAGTCAGAATAATGTGTCCCAGTAGGCTGACATGTATCAGTTCCAAGTCAGAATAATGTGTCCCAGTAGGCTGACATGTATCAGTTCCAAGTCAGAATAATGTGTACCAGTAGGCTGACATGTATCAGCTCCAAGTCAGAATAATGTGTACCAGTAGGCTGACATGTATCAGTTCCAAGTCAGAATAATGTGTCCCAGTAAGCTGACATGTATCAGTTCCAAGTCAGAATAATGTGTCCCAGTAGGCTGACATGTATCAGTTCCAAGTCAGAATAATGTGTCCCAGTAGGCTGACATGTATCAGTTCCAAGTCAGAATAATGTGTCCCAGTAGGCTGACATGTATCAGTTCCAAGTCAGAATAATGTGTACCAGTAGGCTGACATGTATCAGTTCCAAGTCAGAATAATGTGTCCCAGTAGGCTGACATGTATCAGTTCCAAGTCAGAATAATGTGTACCAGTAGGCTGACATGTATCAGCTCCAAGTCAGAATAATGTGTACCAGTAGGCTGACATGTATCAGTTCCAAGTCAGAATAATGTGTACCAGTAGGCTGACATGTATCAGTTCCAAGTCAGAATAATGTGTCCCAGTAGGCTGACATGTATCAGTTCCAAGTCAGAATAATGTGTACCAGTAGGCTGACATGTATCAGTTCCAAGTCAGAATAATGTGTACCAGTAGGCTGACATGTATCAGTTCCAAGTCAGAATAATGTGTACCAGTAGGCTGACATGTATCAGTTCCAAGTCAGAATAATGTGTACCAGTAGGCTGACATGTATCAGCTCCAAGTCAGAATAATGTGACCCAGTAGGCTGACATGTATCAGTTCCAAGTCAGAATAATGTGTACCAGTAGGCTGACATGTATCAGCTCCAAGTCAGAATAATGTGTCCCAGTAGGCTGACATGTATCAGTTCCAAGTCAGAATAATGTGTACCAGTAGGCTGACATGTATCAGTTCCAAGTCAGAATAATGTGTCCCAGTAGGCTGACATGTATCAGTTCCAAGTCAGAATAATGTGTCCCAGTAGGCTGACATGTGTCAGTTCCAAGTCAGAATAATGTGTCCCAGTAGGCTGACATGTATCAGTTCCAAGTCAGAATAATGTGTCCCAGTAGGCTGACATGTATCAGTTCCAAGTCAGAATAATGTGTCCCAGTAGGCTGACATGTATCAGTTCCAAGTCAGAATAATGTGTCCCAGTAGGCTGACATGTATCAGTTCCAAGTCAGAATAATGTGTCCCAGTAGGCTGACATGTATCAGTTCCAAATCAGAATAATGTGTACCAGTAGGCTGACATGTATCAGTTCCAAGTCAGAATAATGTGTCCCAGTAGGCTGACATGTATCAGTTCCAAGTCAGAATAATGTGTCCCAGTAGGCTGACATGTATCAGTTCCAAGTCAGAATAATGTGTCCCAGTAGGCTGACATGTATCAGTTCCAAGTCAGAATAATGTGTCCCAGTAGGCTGACATGTATCAGTTCCAAGTCAGAATAATGTGTCCCAGTAGGCTGACATGTATCAGTTCCAAGTCAGAATAATGTGTACCAGTAGGCTGACATGTATCAGTTCCAAGTCAGAATAATGTGTCCCAGTAGGCTGACATGTATCAGTTCCAAGTCAGAATAATGTGTCCCAGTAGGCTGACATGTATCAGTTCCAAGTCAGAATAATGTGTACCAGTAGGCTGACATGTATCAGTTCCAAGTCAGAATAATGTGTACCAGTAGGCTGACATGTATCAGTTCCAAGTCAGAATAATGTGTACCAGTAGGCTGACATGTATCAGTTCCAAGTCAGAATAATGTGTCCCAGTAGGCTGACATGTATCAGTTCCAAGTCAGAATAATGTGTACCAGTAGGCTGACATGTATCAGTTCCAAGTCAGAATAATGTGTACCAGTAGGCTGACATGTATCAGTTCCAAGTCAGAATAATGTGTACCAGTAGGCTGACATGTTTTCTTGCTGTCTACTACCTTGTGAACTTCCACATTAAAAATTGGGCCCAGCTTGTCAATCTAGTACAAAACAGGGTTAGTATTCATATTACATTATAGAAATAAGGAGATGTGGTATGATTGCTAATGAGACAACTATCCACCAAAGACCAAGGAGATGTGGTATGATTGCCAATGAGACAACTACCCACAAAAGACCAAGGAGATGTGGTATGATTGCCAATGAGACAACTACCCACAAAAGACCAAGGATATGTGGTATGATTGCCAATGAGACAACTACCCACAAAAGACCAAGGAGATGTGGTATGATTGCCAATGAGACAACTACCCACAAAAGACCAAGGAGATGTGGTATGATTGCTAATGAGACAACTATCCACCAAAGACCAAGGAGATGTGGTATGATTGCTAATGATACAACTACCCACCAAAGTTCAAACGAAGTTGATGTAAGCAATTATAGGCAACCGTATGGCCTTCAACAATGAGAAAAATTCATACTGTATAGTTGGCTATAAAAGGTCTGGACATGAAAAATATGAAACAATCCAATTGAGAAAACTAACAGCCTAATTAATAACAAAAGAATTTACAAAAAACAAATATGACATACATGAACCAAATTATCAACCACTGAACTACAGGCTCCTGACTTAGGACAGGCACATAAAGAATGTGGCAAGGTGAAACATGTTTATGAACTCTTAACCACCCCCTAACCTGGGACAGTGGTGTAATTACATGTTCTAGTATTGAATATATGCAGTTAGTTTGGCACCGGACATTAAACAGCCATTCATCATCATCATTATGAGGTAAAGTATAGATGTCAATAAGATTTGTTAGTTTTGTTATACTTTATTCTTAAAGAAACTATTAATTGTACATTATTACCCCAGGACTCAATTTTTTTTCCTCTAAATTAACCTGCTTAAAGTATATGTTTTTTAATCTGTGTGCAGATTTTTTAGTTTTTGCATATATCATCTCTACAAACGTAAAATTGATTGTGTGAACTTTTCACCTAATTTCTATTATTACAATTCTATATGTCCATAGCTTACTGTGGATATTTGATTTTGTGGTTTCGTAAAGTCTGCATACATGTGTCTGTAGAAAATTCGTTGAACTTTTAAAATCATGGTTTACCTTGCCCCATGTAAAACACAAAAATTGGTATCCCACGAATAATAATGAATGCACAGTATTATATATTTATGTAGTATAACTTATTATTGAAGACACATGATCATTATAGGAGAGCTCAGCTGAAGAAACAAGTATCAGTCACATTCTTACCAGGTTTACTTACAAGGAAAGAAACAAAGATTTTCAAGTTACCACGGATACAACGCAGCTTAAGAACATACATAATCAATACTATAGATCAGCTATCTGATTGTTGGCAGGTAAGTCACAATAGATCAGCTGACTGATTGTTGGCAAGTTAGTCACTATAGATCAGCAGACTGATTGTTGGCAGGTAAGTCACTATAGACCAGCTGACTAATAATGGCATGTAAGACACTATAGATCAGATGACTGATTGTTGGCAGGTAAGTCACTATAGACCAGCTGACTAATAATGGCATGCATATATATATGTAAGACACTATAGATCAGCTGACTAATAATGGCATGTAAGACACTATAGATCAGATGACTGATTGTTGGCAGGTAATTCACTAAAGATCAGCTGACTGATTGTTGGCAGGTAAGTCACTATAGATCAGCAGAATTATTTTTGGCAGGTAAGTCACTATAGATCAGCAGAATGATTGTTGGCAGGTAGGTCACCATAGTTCAGCTGACTGATTGTTGGCAGGTAAATCACTATAGATCAGCTGACTGATTGGTAGCAGGCTAGTCACTAAAGATCAGTGGAATGATTGTTGGCGAGTAAGTCACTATAAATCAGATGACTGATTGTTGGTAGGTAAGTCACTTTGAACCAGCTGACTGATTGTTGGCAAGTTAGTCACTATAGAACAGATTGTTGGCATGTAAGTCACTTTAAATCAGCTGACTGATTGTTGGCAAGTAAGTCACTATAGACCAGCAGACTGATTGACCGCATGTAAGTCACTATAGATCAGATAACTGATTGTTGGCAAGTAAGTCACTATAGATCAACTGACCTTTTGGTAGCAGGTAAGTCACTATATATCAGATGACTGATTGTTGGCAAGTAAGTCACTATAGATCAGCTGACTGATTGGTAATAGGTAAGTCACTATAGATCAGATGACTGATTGTTGGCAAGTAAGTCACTATAGATCAGCAGACTGATTGGTAGCAGGTAAGTCACTATAGATCAGATGACTGATTGTTGGCAAGTAAATCACTATAGATCAGCTGACTGATAGTTGACAAGTAAGTCACTTAAGATCAGTTACCCTTTTTTGTGTTTTGGGCAAAAAATAAAGAAGATAGAGAGAAACTGTAAATGGAGAAAATTATCAGCAATTCAAATCAACAAAAAAAAAGAGATTTTTGTCAGGAAGTAGTCTATTGTAGACTACAATTTAGGAGAGTATCTATTGTCGAAGATGTACATAGACCTAGGTGAACAATACAGACTCTTTAGAGCCTCTAGTTAGGTTTTAATAGCATTATTTGTATGCAACATTTCCAGAAATTGCAATCATTGATATTGTTTGTCCATTATTATTATAAAATGGCAGTAATGAATGCAAACATTTCTGAATTTAACATGTTTAAAGTGTTTGAAAATATTTTTTTTCAGAAAAGTAATGACCTTCAAGATCGTGCCTCTTACTTATATCTACGAGGAGCATTTTACCTAGCTGATCATAAAGCAATTGAGGCTTTAGGTGATTTAACAAGACTGGCAGAGATAGATATATCATTAGTACCAGAACTGTAAGTTATATTCAGTAGGCAGAGATAGATATATCATTAGTACCAGAACTGTAAGTTATATTCAGTCGGCAGAGATAGATATATCCTTAGTAATAGAACTGTAAGTTATATTCAGTCGGTAGAGATAGATATATCCTTAGTACCAGAACTGTAGAGATAGATATAGCCTTAGTACTAGAACTGTAAGTTATATTCAGTCGGCAGAGATAGATATATCCTTAGTACCAGAACTGTAAGTTATATTCAGTCGGTAGAGATAGATATATCCTTAGTACTAGAACTGTAAGTTATATTCAGTAGGCAGAGATAGATATATCCTTAGTACCAGAACTGTAAGTTATATTCAGTAGGTAGAGATAGATATATCCTTAGTACCAGAACTTAAGTTATATTCAGTCAGTAGAGATAGATATATCCTTAGTACTAGAACTGTAAGTTATATTCAGTAGGCAGAGATAGATATATCCTTAGTACCAGAACTGTAAGTTATATTCAGTAGGCAGAGATAGATATATCCTTAGTACTAGAACTGTAAGTTATATTCAGTAGGCAGAGATAGATATATCCTTAGTACCAGAACTGTAAGTTATATTCAGTAGGCAGAGATAGATATATCCTAAGTACCAGAACTGTAAGTTATATTCAGTGGGCAGAGATAGATATATCCTTAGTACCAGAACTGTAAGTTATATTCAGTGGGTAGAGATAGATATATCCTTAGTACCAGAACTGTAAGTTATATTTAGTAGGAAGAGATAGATATATCCTTAGTACCAGAACTGTAAGTTATAGTCAGTCGGTAAAGACAGATATATCCTAAGTACCAGAACTGTAAGTTATATTCAGTCGGCAGAGATAGATATATCATTAGTACCAGAACTGTAATTTATATTCAGTGGGCAGAGATAGATATATCCTTAGTACCAGAACTGTAAGTTATATTCAGTAGGCAGAGATAGATATATCATTAGTACCAGAACTGTAAGTTATATTCAGTAGGCAGAGATAGATATATCCTTAGTACCAGAACTGTAAGTTATATTCAGTCGGCAGAGATAGATATATCCTTAGTACTAGAACTGTAGGTTATATTCAGTCGGTAGAGATAGATATATCCTAAGTACCAGAACTGTAAGTTATATTCAGTGGGCAGAGATATATATATCCTTAGTACCAGAACTGTAAGTTATATTCAGTAGGTAGATATAGATATATCATAAGTACCAGAACTACATGTAAGTTATATTCAGTCGGTAGAGATAGATATATCCTTAGTACCAGAACTGTAAGCTATATTAAGTAGGCAGAGATAGATATATCCTTATTACCAGAACTGTAAGTTATATTCAGTAGGCAGAGATAGATATATCATTAGTACTAGAACTGTAAGTTATATTCAGTCGGTAGAGATAGATATATCCTAAGTACCAGAACTGTAAGTTATATTCAATAGGCAGAGATAGATATATCATTAGTACCAAAACTGTAAGTTATATTCAGTCGGCAGAGATAGATATATCATTAGTACCAGAACTGTAAGTTATATTCAGTGGGTATAGATAGATATATCCTTAGTACTAGAACTGTAAGTTATATTCAGTAGGTAGAGATAAGATATATCCTTAGTACCAGAACTGTAAGTTATATTCAGTAGGCAGAGATAGATATATCCTTAGTACCAGAACTGTAAGTTATATTCAGTCGGTAGAGATAGATATATCCTTAGTACTAGAACTGTAAGTTATATTCAGTGGGCAGAGATAGATATATCCTTAGTACTAGAACTGTAAGTTATATTCAGTGAGCAGAGATAGATATATCCTTAGTACTAGAACTGTAAGTTATATTCAGTAGGTAGAGATAGATATATCCTTAGTACCAGAACTGTAAGTTATATTCAGTCGGCAGAGATAGATATATCATTAGTACCAGAACTGTAAGTTATATTCAGTCAGTAGAGATAGATATATCCTTAGTACCAGAACTGTAAGTTATATTCAGTCGGCAGAGAAAGATATATCCTTCGTACTAGAACTGTAAGTTATATTCAGTAGGTAGAGATAGATATATCCTTAGTACTAGAACTGTAAGTTATATTCAGTAGGTAGAGATAGATATATCCTTAGTACCAGAACTGTAAGTTATATTCAGTGGGCAGAGATAGATATATCCTAAGTACCAGAACTGTAAGTTATATTCAGTAGGCAGAGATAGATATATCATTAGTACCAGAACTGTCAGTTATATTCAGCCGGTAGAGATAGATATATCCTTAGTACCAGAACTGTAAGTTATATTCAGTAGGCAGAGATAGATATATCCTTAGTACAAGAACTGTAAGTTATATTCAGTCGGTAGAGATAGATATATCCTAAGTACCAGAACTGTAAGTTATATTCAGTCGGCAGAGATAGATATATCCTTAGTACCAGAACTGTAAGTTATATTCAGTCGGCAGAGATAGATATATCCTAAGTACCAGAACTGTAAGTTATATTCAGTCGGCAGAGATAGATATATCATTAGTACCAGAACTGTAAGTTATATTCAGTGGGTAGAGATAGATATATCCTTAGTACCAGAACTGTAAGTTATATTCAGTCGGCAGAGATAGATATATCATTAGTACCAGAACTGTAAGTTATATTCAGTGGGTAGAGATAGATATATCCTTAGTACCAGAACTGTAAGTTATATTCAGTCGGCAGAGATAGATATATCATTAGTACCAGAACTGTAAGTTTATTCTGTCGAATTTTGTTGTTATGAAAACCCAGATGTGCAAAGTAATTTTTTGAAAAAGGCTGCTAAGCTTAGTGAAGTTGACAAAAGTTTTGTAAATATCCTTGAAAGAGCAATTTTTATGTCCCATTTATGGGCATTATGTTTGTCCGTCTGTCCCGCTTCAGGCTAAAGTTTTTGGTTAAAGTTTTTGGTCAAGTGCTTGATGAAGTTGAAGTCAAATCAACTTGAAACTTAGTACACATGTTCCCTATGATATGATCTTTCTAAATTGAAGGCCAAATCAGAGTTTTTACCCCCAATTTTACGGTCCACTGAACATAAAAAATGATAGTGCAAGTGGGGCATCCGTGTACTATGGACATATTCTTGTAACATATATTTTACTGAATTAAACATTTGAGATTGCTTTATCAGACTAATGGTAGATTAAAAAAAACCATATTTGTACATTCATTGCTACTTCTATATCTGTTTCTTTAAACGAGAGTCTTGTATAGGACTACTTTTTACAAACGTTTGGCCAAAGGATACATTTGATGCTTAATTTTATTTTTGAAAATAGTTATACAATTTGTATGTTGAATTGATTTAAGGAATGACTGTAATATTTTTAGCTCACCTGGCCCAAAGGGCCAAGTGAGCTTTTCTCATCACTTGGCGTCCGTTGTCCGTCGTTGTCGTCGTTGTTGTCCATCATCGTTAACTTTTACAAAAATCTTCTCCTCTGAAACTACTGGGCCAAATTTGACCAAACTTGGCCATAATCATTATTGGAGTATCTAGTTTAAAAAATGTGTCCAGTGACCGGCCAACCAACCAAGATGGCCGCCATGGCTAAAAATAGAACATAGGGGTAAAATGTAGATTTTGTCTTATATCTCTGAAACCAAAGCATTTAGAGCAAATCTGACATAGGGTAAAATTTTTTATCAGGTCAAGATCTATCTGCCCTGAAATTTTCAGATGAATCAGACAACCCGTTGTTGGGTTGCTGCCCCTGAATTGGTAATTTTAAGGAAATTTTGCCGTTTTTGGTTATTATCTTGAATATTATTATAGATAGAGATAAATTAAAAACAGCAATAATGTACAGCAAAGTAGGATCTACAAATAAGTCAACTTGACCAAAATGGTCAGTTGACCCCTTAAGGAGTTATTGCCCTTTATAGTCAATTTTTAACCATTTTTCGTAAATTTTTGTAATCTTTTACAAAAATCTTCTCCTCTGAAACTACTAGGACAAATTTAACCAAACTTGTCCACAATCATCATTAGGGTATCTAGTTTAAAAAATGTGTCCGATGACCCCGTCCGTGAACCAAGATGGTCGACATGGCTAAAAAATAGTACATAGGGTGAAATGCAGTTTTTGGCTCATATCTCTGAAACCAAAGCATTTAGAGCAAATCTGACCATGATAAAATTGTTCATTAGGTCAAGATCTATCTGCCCTGAAATTTTCAGACCAATCAGGCAACACGTTGTTGGGTTGCTGCCCCTGAATTGGTAATTTTAAGAAAATTTTGCAGCTTTTGGTTATTATCTTGAATACTATTATAGATAGAGATAAACTGTAAACAGCAATAATGTACAGCAAAGTAAGATCTACAAATAAGTCAACATTACCAAAATTGTCAATTGACCCCTTAAGGAGTTATTGCCCTTTATAGTCAATTTTTTACAATTTTCATAAATTTTGTAAATTTTTACAAAATATTTTCCACTGTAACTACTGGGCCAAGTTCATTATAGATAGAGATAATTGTAAGCAGCAAGAATGTTCAGTAAAGTAAGATCTACAATCACATCACCATCACCAAAACACAATTTTGTCATAAATCCATCTGCGTCCTTTGTTTAATATGCACATAGACCAAGGTGAGCGACACAGGCTCTTTAGAGCCTCTTGTTTCTGTCTATGATGAATACATAAAAAATGTGGTGCACACTGAATAACCTGGGTAGCAGGTTATTTTAAAGTGTGCACCACATTTTTTATGTTGTTTCTAATAGTCAGAAAAAATATTACAGCCATTCCTTATAATTTAATTCTAAATTCCATGTTAAGCCGGAGTAAATCATGAAAAAATGTTGATGATGTCATGGTCACATAACAAAATTATGACTATTAGCTGATCAATAGACAAAACTCTGTCTGCCAATCAGAAGATGCGTTACATTCAAAATAAATTATTTCAGTATGGTGAAACAAGCCTACCAGAAGATACCAGAGGATGAAAAATATGACATTTTAATGAGACCAGGCATACAGCATCTCTCTGAACTGTTACATTTGGAGAGTGATGGGAGCCAGTCTCCAAAAGTACATCATAAGTTTGAGGAACCTGTTAAACTTCCTGACCATGATCTCAGTTAGTAGTTTGTTACATATAAAAAAATATGATAGAAAGTGTTCTAAAATAATGTTTGTGAATATATACTAATTTATTTGGTAGAAAATAAAAACAAAAAAGAGACAAAGAATTTGCAAGATACAGTTGAATTTTCTTCACTTTAATATGATTACGGTAAACTTAATTAAATTTTAATATTTTGATTGATCAGTCATAGGTTTAATATTATGAAAGTTTTTTGAAGATTTTTCCTGATTTGGTTTTCATAATTATTTTTTAAAGAATTTTCATAGTTAGTGTATGCAATTAGATTTTGTAATAATTTGCTGATTCATATTAATGTTAAGACTTTTAACAATTTTTTGTGATCATATTGTTAGTTTATTCTGAATCTTTTAGATTTTAAGGGAGCCTTCTATTACTTATGTAATTAGAGATCAAGATTAGACAACATTTTTGTAGAATTTGAACAATTTCCTAATATTTGTATGTATGGTATCAATTAGAGAGAATTGTTTTTTTTTAGATTTTGAAGAATTTAGACGATTTGTTACTATGTTGGAGATGACACAAGATATGGAAACTGTGATGAGACTTTTCCAAGCATTAGAACTGAACCAACATAATGGATGTAAGTATCAGTCACTCATTCCCATCATGCATTAGAACTAAACCAACATAATGGAAGTAAGTAAAGGTCAACCATTCCCATCATGCAGTAGAATTAAACCAACATAATGGATGTAAGTAAAGGTCAACCATTCCCATCATGCAGTAGAATTAAACCAACTTAATGGATGTAAGTATAGGTCAACCATTCCCATCATGCATTAGAATTAAACCAACATAATGGAAGTAAGTATCAGTCAACCATTCCCATCATGCATTAGAATTAAACCAACATAATGGATGTAAGTATAGGTCAACCATTCCCATCATGCAGTAGAATTAAACCAACATAATGGATGTAAGTATAGGTCAACCATTCCCATCATACATTAAAATTAAACCAACATAATGGATGTAAGTATAGGTCAACCATTCCCATCATGCATTAGAATTAAACCAACATAATGGAAGTAAGTATCAGTCAACCATTCCCATCATGCAGTAGAATTAAACCAACATAATGGATGTAAGTATAGGTCAACGATTCCCATCATGCATTAAAATTAAACCAACATAATGGATGTAAGTATAGGTCAACCATTGCCATCATGCATTAGAATTAAACCAACATAATGGATGTAAGTATAGGTCAATCATTCCCATCATGCATTAGAATTAAACTAACATAATGGATGTAAGTATAGGTCAACTATTCCCATCATGCTTTAAAATTAAACCATTCCCATCATGCATTAGAACTGAAACAACATAATGGATGTACGTATCAATCACCCATTCCCATCATGCATTAGAATTAAACAAACATAATGGATGTACGTATCAGTCACCCATTCCCATCATAAAGATTTTCCGTGATTTCTACATATTTAGATAGTTTTTCATGTGTGTTTATTATAAGATTAAACACATTATTTTTAAGAGGTTATTGATGTGTAAACCGGGGCGATTAATCCACAAACTGAATAAAAGTCCAAAAAGACCATTATGTTAAGTTTGTGAGTAAGAGCCCTGGTTTACACATCAATAACCTCAAGAAAAAAAGTGTTTAATTCTTATAATTCTTAAGCCATTGCCCAAATATTCGCTATTTCAATTTAATTAATTTTTTTTGTGTAATGGCTACTGTAATTACCATCAAATGCACAATTGACAGGTAGTAAATAAGGAGTTGGCCGCCATATTGACTTTCTAAAATCCACAAATGTTCGATAAATAAAACAGAATCTAAAAACTTCATTTTAATGAGATATTATTCGAATTTGAAGCGTACAAGTAACAAAATAATTCGCTTGTTTTCATTCGTATGACGTCGTGTTTTGCCATGACGTAAATTCGCCTTACTAATTTGTGAAATTTCGCAGAATTTTATTTAAATTTAAATTTATACATTTTCGAAGCTTAAATGCATTATTTCTTTTTTGTTATCTCTGCATTAGAATAGAAACAACTGTTATGTATTTGTTTTTCAATCTCATTTGCTGAAAATCCCCGGATCCCTGCATTCATTTGTGTCGCGCATGAATAGATCATTCGCGCATGAATAGATCATTCGCGCATGAATAGATCAGAGTGAAGATTATGAAAGTAGTTTTGGAAACATGGTTTATCGAAGTGTAAACCAAGGAAAAAATTCTAATTGACCAATCCAATTCAAGTATTTGTAGATATGCAAATCATATAAGAATTATAGAATTTTATTTCCTAATAAGACAATGTATTGACAATTGATCTTGCAATCTTGCCTATCCAAGCTGCTAGATAGATAAAGATATCCCCCAAAAAAACATGCTATTTTGATTTTATGTCAGATATATTAAACTTGATGTTTATATAAAACAGTAGACTCTGGCAAATTTGATACTCAAAATGTCAGCAAAAAATATCATCTTAACCAATATACTGTAAATTCAGAAATTATTGCGATGTTTATATTATTGTGAAAAATGTGACACGGTTATAATCGCAATAACTTAAACTCGCATTTTGAAATTTTTATTATGAATTAACCAGGATTTTTCTCAATATCGCAAAAATTAAAATCGCTCTATAGTCTAAAATGTCAAAATCCATTAATAAATGCACGCAATAATTTCTCAATTTGACAATTAAATGAATATTCATTGTCTCTTCTGCAAAAACTAAGATGACCTAATTCTGAGATGTTCCTTTGATGCATACTGATTATAATTTAAGACTATAAAGTGGACATTGGAACATTTGAGACATTTAATCATTTATGACATAATTTTAGACAATAAAGGGGACATTGGAACATTTGAGACATTATATAATTTTAGCAAAAGAGTGGACTTTGGAACATTTGAGACATTTAATCATTTATTATATAATTTTAGATGATAAAGTGGACATTAGAACATTTGGAACATTAATTCATTTATTATACAATTTTAGACGATAAAGTGGACATAGGAACATTTGAGACATTTAATCATTTATTATATAATTTTAGACGATAAAGTGGACATTGGAACATTTGAGACATTTAATCATTTATTATATATAATTTTAGACGATAAAGTGGACATTGGAACATTTGAGACATTTAATCATTTATTATATAATTTTAGACAATAAAGTGGACATTGGAACATTTGAGACATTTAATCATTTATTATATAATTTCAGACGATAAAGTGGACATTGGAACATTTGAGACATTTAATCATTGTTATCAAGAGAATCTGGAGCATTGTCTGATGGTAGAGGAATCCATTTTAGATCATGAAGAATATGTACTGAAGTTGTCTTTACTCTGTAAAACTGATGTTGGGTCTGGCAGAATTGTGCTTACTAATAAAAGGTAATAGATATATATTCCATGTTATCGCTATTTTAAGAAATTTTTCTTTGATCTTACAGACTGAAAATTTTCTTTCTGAGCACAGTAGAGTGATATGAAAAATTATCACTAGAAACTAAGGGCGCACATGCTGTTTTCAATGTAAACTTCAATGTCGTCATAAGCAAAATAGTGATAAACAGATTATAATTGGTCATCTCAACTGTTTTTCTCACTTTCAACATACCGGCTTAAGCGAGAAAATCAATCTTGTTGAAATATTTAAAGATAATCAATAATTATTTACTGAAGAAATAATCATTTAGTGTAATCATGGGTGCAGCACATTTAAAACTACTAGGGGACATTTTAGGGCAGACATTAAAGCCCATCTTAGCGCCAAATTAATCCATTCACCTGTATTTTAAATAGCCCTAATATATGTTTGCTATTTCGAAACACTGTACTCCACATTATCCACACCTGTGAGGCCTCTCAGGGTGTCAAAGTAATCACATAATCACTAATTTTTTGTCAATATAATCACCTAATCATAAAAAAAATTTTCAAACATGATAATCAAATAATAAAAAAACAGTCCTAGATTATCAAATAATCAAATAATCATGAAATATTTGATCTGGTAATCAAATAATCACTATAAAAATGGCCAAGTAATCACATGATAAAAACCCCATGAGAAGGCTCACCTGGTTGCTATTATTTTCAGATTATTGTTTATGAAGGATGGTTCAATGGAGTGTACAGAAGTTACAAAGATAAGAGATATTGTCCTGATTGAGCAGAAACAACTGAAGTCTTTCTTTAAAACAATCGATGTACTTAGGATTCACAAAAAAGGTTTGTTGCTTGTTTAACCTAATTCAGAAGATAAAAAGAAAAATGTAAAATGAAATAAACTCAGATCAAGAATGAAAAATTCAAGGAAAAAATAGTTTTAAATTTTGGCAACAGTATTTTACTAATGTTCAAATCTCAGAAATTTTGAACGATGTTTATTCATCAAATCAAATTCTAAAATCAAGCAGTATTTCACAATAAAGTGAATAAACTGTTTAAATTATTTTAATATAATTGAGTGATTTCCTTAGAAATGCCTATTTTGATCTCCTGGCGTGTCATTCAGATTAAAAATGATGTTGCAAATTCAATTATTATCATACTGTAAATTAAGTAATTATTGCGATGTTTTTATTATTGTGACAAAAGCGACAGGGTTATAATCGCAATAATTTAAACTCGCATTTGAATATTTTTATATAAATTAAACAGGATTTTTCTCAATATCACTGAAATTAAAATCGCATTTTAGTCCAAAATGACAAAATCGCAATAATAAATGCATGCAATAATTTCTGAATTTACAGTATTAAGCATGTTCATCTCATGCTTTATGTTTCAACTTTAGTCAAAACTTGTTTTCAAGATGATGCAAAGTTCACAGCCTGGTTGAAGGACGAAAGGGATCATTGGTTTGTACTGCTACAAGAATTATGGGCTGGCAAGGTCGTTTCTATTGGAACTAAGGACATCATGGCTGCAAACAAAGCTGCCAATAATGTACAACTTGTTGATGCTTTTCTCAAAAGGTATGTTCTTGATCACTGGGTCTCTGTTCCTTTGACATTTGATGTAATGCCTGGGAATGATATACCTATTTGAGATGGTCACTGATAGTGACGTTCCCTTGTCTCCATCTTATGGTGTTTATATATCGCAACTTGTTCGAATCGCTCGTGTATGTAACAACGTATTTGATTTTAAACGGACACTAGCTATGAGATATGAAAATAAATAGAATATGATTTTGTTTAGGTCAATTATTAATATAAGCTAAATAATGAAATAATAATTCGTTTTTAGCAACAAATTTGGTTCAATTTTGTCAAAATAAGCAAAGAAACATTGCTGATGGATTATTCACTTGCAAGTGAATAATTCGACCTCATTGAATCTGTATTCATGTGACCCTCAATTTAACCCAATAGATAAAGATTGGTTACGTATGTATAAATCGTGGCCAGCCATTAAAAGCAAAAGAATGTCAACATTGAAAGTGAAACAAAGGTGAACCATTTCATTGACTTATTCGATCCACAAAAAAATCATTCTTATACAGGTAAAATAAAGGCAACAGTAGTATACCGCTGTTCGAAACTCATAAATCGATAGAGATAAAAACAAATCTGGGTTACAAACTAAAACTGAGGGAAACGCATCAAATATAAGAGGAGAACAACGACACAACAAAAAAACGATAATTAACTTTTTATTTAACCTATAACATGAGATCAAACAGACCTAGAAAAATCCAATTGCACGAGGTAGGTAGTTATTTATACTTATGTTTATGTTTATATTGGGTTATATGACAATAGGCAGTCTCAGGTGGTCATCTCGAAAGTTAATTTGAGGGTGTCTAGACTAAAATACACACGAAATTGTGATATATTTTATCGAGTACATGCAGTGTTAACTGTTTATTTCAGACTTATTGTAATTTGAATATACGTTTTAGTATGTTATAAATCAAATTTGAGAATTTGAGTCAAATCGGTGAACATGAATTTGACAGCTAGTGTCCCTTTAAGGAAATAAATCTCTGTTTTACTGAAAATATGAATCAACATGCAGACTTCTTATACGTTCAGGTATTTCACATCCAATCTTTTATGGTAATAATCTTTACAAAGCACAAAAATGCAACAGACTTATTCAGAAGGGATATAGTTACGATACTGTTGTCAGGTCATTAAAGATGGCATATTTTGGTATTAATATTGATTCACTCGTAGGGTCTTTGCATCAGAAATAAACACATTTATTCTAAAACCAGTAGCTGGCATGATACAGGTTATGTTCTTCTCATTTATTTTATGATGGTATGACTCTAAACTCCTAACATGAGGTATTGTGCTTGATTTTCATATGATTAAGACATAATTTTTCAATCAGTTAAGTTGAGGTCTGGAGCTGGCATGTTAATAAATGCTAGTAGTCCTTGGTTAATTTATGTCATTTTGTTTAGTTTCTTTTGTTACCTATTCTGGCATCAGACTCGGACTTCTTTTAAACTGAGTTTTACTGTGCATACTGCTGTGTGTTCGTTTATTCTACATTGGTTAGATGTATAGGGGATCATCCCCAGACTCCCATATCAGCCCAAGACATAGTTGAGGTGCTGGGTGTGCAAATACGGCTTGTTTTCTTCCGGTCGTTACACATATACAAAAAGCACTGTATTAGGCATGAAGTATATGATAAATGCTAATAATCATGGAGTATAAGTTGGTGATACAGTTTGAAAGAAAACTCAAAGGAGTTGTACAAATGTTAAAAAATGTTAAGAAATCCAAGAAAAAAGAAAACCAAATAAGTGTAGTTATTGAATGATTAACACTATATATTTTGTTTCAGTTCTCAGGACCAAGACACAACTCATCATGAAAATCCTATGCAGGCTGTGATAGAACTCTGTTTTTACACACGATACATGAAGGAGAAAAGACACGAACTTCCACGAGAAACGCTAGAGACATTAGTCAATAGGATTGACCCTTGTTCTGGAGAAAGTCTGAGACAAACTGTTCAATCATTATTGTACACTCCTGGTGGTAAGTTACAAAGCATTATTAGCCAATAGGATTGACCCTTGTTCTGGAGAAAGTCTGAGACAAACTGTTCAATCATTATTGTACACTCCTGGTGGTAAGTTACAAAGCATTATTAGCCAATAGGATTGACCCTTGTTCTGGAGAAAGTCTGAGACAAACTGTTCAATCATTATTGTACACTCCTGGTGGTAAGTTACAAAGCATTTAAAGATAGTTTGTTGACTTCTAAATACATTTATTTTGTATTTACATTGTGTTGCTGTCTCCAGGAAGCTATATATGAAAAATTGGGAAACTACTGTTTTATTTTGGAAAAAAAATTGACTAAAAGGACATCCTTTGTTTTTCTGTTACGACAATCATTTAAAAATTCACAGTATAGTATAATCGTATGTGTAAAGGGAGGTGTACTCTGTTGATTTTGGGAAAATCTTCTTTTGCTCAATACACCTTATCGCTATTTATTCCATTTTGGATGAGGTCTGAAATTACACAACTCTTTCAAACCAGTTGAAGCTATCTGGTGCCCTGTTTTAACAATGTGCTATGTATAAAATTTTTCAAAGAGTTATGTTTAGTCATTGTAAATTGACTTCAAACAAAGCATTTTTCTTACTTCAATTTGTGTTTAAATAATTGGATCATATCACTAGTAACTCGAATTTAGCTTGAACGGACAAAAACGCATTAACGACATTTAAAAAAGATTAATGAAAATTGAATAAAGATTGACAAAAATTATAAATTATTTTTAATGCATTTCAATCCATATCAAATCATTTTAATACCAGTAAAATAGATTCCCTTGCGGTCATTCAAGTTAATTTGAGATGTGGTTAAACTGCGTCAAACTAATTAGCCACGCCCCCGTTAAACGGAATCAAACTGATGTTAAGTCCTTTTAAACTTTAAAGTGTCCGCCTTTTTGTAAGGTAAATCACTCAAGCAGAACAGCATCCTCGTGTATCTATCATTAATCCGCTCCGAGCGTTATCGATTTAAGATATTTTACTGGTGGTTAGTTTATATATGTTTTCCAATATTTATGTTATACGTAATGTTTTTTATATGTATATTGGAATGTATAATGTTATACAAGTGGTGAGACTTTAATAAAAAAAATTGAATCTGAATATATAAACATGCTTCACAATAAGATAAACGAATGAACAATAGATATATAACTAAATTTATAAATATTGATGCACGATTTAAAAAGCACAAAGTGTTAATCTGTTAAAAATAAAATAGCTCTTTATATCAAATTATTCGTTTTCAATATTGCTTACTAATATGAAAACTCGTGGCATGTAAGTAAGGTATGGTCTTTTAAATATATCTGCGAAAAATAAAAAACTGGAAAGATAATAAGAAGGTCGTAATTGTGCTCATTACAAACCTAAAAGTGAAAGATGTTTTTTAATCAATAGACAATAAGTTTTAATAGATGTATATTAAATTTTTCGGTAAGAAAAAAACATTAACATTTATACCGACATTTAAAATAGCTTGTAATTAAAAACATTTTTTTGTTAAATAACAAAATTGATCTAGATGAGCTTGACATTTGTTGAATTCATTTAGTAAACAGTTTCGTCTTGCTAAAACTTGTAATTAAAGTAACAGCTCAATGAACTTTTAAACCTGTGTAAAATTGTAATACCGGTCATTGGTTAAAAATGTGTGTTATTTGTGAAAAAGCAGCAAACGACAAATGAAATTTGAAGTGGGTTTACGAAGGGATTATCGTTATGTCCGCATGTAAAATAATTCTTGCAAGAAATGAACATTTGACGAACTGGACTGGCTATTAAGCCCTCGCACGGTCGGCCCTGGCCCAAAAGGAATATTAAAAAAAACCCTTATTTTTATATTTGCGGCATTCAAAAACGTTTTTAAGACCAAAAGGTAGCTTAAACATTGTAAAGAACGTCGGATAAAATGTTTCAGTCATATAATTGTGTAAGGCATATTCTAGCGGTAATGCATATTTTAGCGGTAATTACTAGATAAAAAAAAATAATTGGCTATTCTAACTTCCCAAGTTTAATCTAGGTGCTCTCGTAGGCCACGTTTAATATTCAAATAAATTTCATTGGTCGGGATTTCATTATGTGTTATATGAAATTATCTTGAAAATAATTGCGGGAAAGGGCTGTTAAAGTGCGAGAAGAAAACTCTTTTTCTTTTTTTGCGGAAACGTGAACGAAGGAACGTGCTACAAATAAAGACCTGCGATTGTTTGTCAATAACTCAAATTTACAAAATAGTAAAATATAACTTATGATCAATGTCAAAATTATTGGAAGTTTTGTGATCATGACATCACCTATGTTATGTAGTATAAATACTCGAATTTGTCAATTATACCACATCTTCTGATTTGTATATTAATCATGTCAAAATACGAAAATGGAACGAATAAACGTTGTGCACGATGTTCCTACAACACGACGTTACACTAAAAATGCCGCGTCAAAGAGGATGTTTGACTTCGATTAATTTTTGCAAGTTTTATTCGTTTTTTTATATGTTGTTGGTTGATTCTGGTTCTGTTCTTTTTGTGATGTCATTTTATCATAAATTACCTCAAGTTGTGGAAATTGATTTACTAATGTTTACCCTTTAAGTTATTTCGCCGAAAAATGCAGTACTGTCGCAAGTAATGTAGGAAGGAAAAATGGGACGGAAGTACATGTATACTGTTTTCCATAAATAAATTAATTTTTTTAGATGTACAAAACTTTTATCATAGGATGTTTAATTTCATGGTGCAAATCATCTGTCATTTTAAAATCTCTATATCTTAATTCAACCCAAATTCAAATATATCTGATACTCTGCAAGTAAATCGAAACATTTTTACCCTTGGTTAATTTGAATAGAATTGTATTTTCCCTGGCACATAATTTGTCGAAATACACCGCTTCAATTACTTGAACCTTGGCTTGAGAATTATTTCCCAAGTCATCTAAAGTTGCTTGCATAAATTGTTTAACTTCTGATATACATTTTGAATATAGTAATCTACTCCTGGATCGTCCGTAAAAAAAATATTACAATCCCGGGTTTTATAAATTCAATGACACGGTTTTCGTCGCTGTTTGTCTTTCAATTACCTCCATTTCATGCACAAGTTTATATTGGCGAAAAGTACTGGCTTCGCAAGTGCAGGAATTACTTTCATCACGACAGTTATAACATGAATAGCAGGACAAATCGCGAAGTAAAGCATTCCGTGGACTTGTATTAAGTCTTTTAATATTGATGAATGCACCTTACTGAAGTGACGACTTTAAATGATCTATTTCGGAGTACTTCCGCAACATAAATTAAAATTCGCATTTTATATTTAGAGAACGGTCTTGGTGTCTCCAATTTGTCTTTGCAAAAGTTGAACGAAGTTCATGTATTCGTTCATGTAATGAGATTTTTTTTCCATTTCACCATTCTTTTAAATAAATCGTTAAAAGCTATAAACGATTAATAAAAATTGCAAAATTTAACACGTGTCGAATCTATGTCCCCGGCCGGAGTCTATAGCAACATGCAATATTCTTTTTTTTTGCGGCAGCCATCATCATCTTTTTTTAAATTTCACCACACGATTTGTTTCAATTATCATGAGCATTTAATTGAAACTTTAGCACATGTAACGTCGAAAATTAGCGTTTTTCGGATTTTTCGACGTTTTCAGACGTTTGGACAAATTGGCTACCGTTTTGTATGTGTGGAGGCATTTTATTCCTTTAACACCCAAACATGTAGTTAATAAGAATAGAATCTTGGCATTTTGTACTCTTCGTGTATCTAACTTTTGTTTTGATCAATTATAAATAACTTATTGAAATATCAGTTAAAAAATACGCGTTAATTGCTTTGAAAAATGAAATATCAACTTGGACAAAATGGCTACCGCTTGAAAAACGACTGTGTAGAGAAGATTTTATAGAATCTGCAATATTTGAACTCACGAACAATGAGGCAAATATTTGTACTTTTGATAGATGTTATTATTGTGTTACTCTTTTTATTTATTTTCTGCTATATCTACTTATAAAATTCACTTTCAGTCGTTGAGTTAACGAAAAACGTAGTTGGACATTTTTCTTATTCAAGCTTAATATGCAGCCACCAAGTCAAATGAAATTTGGCAAAATAACGACTTTAACGCCACAGAGAACCGACACATGTCGTTGTTCCTGCCAAGTTTCAGGAAGATCAGAGAATAAGAAATAGGATTACTATATATAAGAGTTAAAACAGTTTTTCATAAATGTAACGTTTTTTTTTCACATAGCTTTGTTATTTTAATCCTCAAATATACTAGATATTACTTAGTATATGATCAAGAGCTATAAAAATATAATTTAAAACATATACTGAATTTGTTTTAATAGTGGTTCGTGTTTGCTAACATTTTTATTTTGTTTTGCGGAGGAAATTTCGAAGATTCTGTTTTAAATCCTAGGGGTTGTAGGAACAGCGTGCGTAACGTTACAGTGAAGTATTGTGTCCATGCATGACTATATCAAAGTCGCGTACATATACGAAGAGAAGATGCGATAAAGACGTAAAAGAGACAGCAACTCAACCACACAACATACCAGAATGTGTACAGTTAGCTCTTGTGTGCATCCTTTCCTTAGGATTTGACTTTAAAAGATATAACTACTTTTGCCTTAACATACCGGAATTGTACTATTTTCTCGGAAAAGTAAGGTATTTATTTCCGGAAGCATAGACTTTAATTGTGGAAACGTATTCTTTTTCCCGGGAAAGTAATGCCAAATTTTATATGAGCAGTGTATTTGTTTCAATGCCAGTATATAAAGCATTAATTTAACTAGTGTTAATGTCTATGGATGTATTAGTTACAGTTGCATACTAATTGAGAGGTCGTCCTTTTTTATGTTCTTCGTGTGGAAATTATTCTTCCTTCAGCATGCATCTTTACTTTGTTCCTCTAATGAGATCCTCATTTACCCTTACATTATAAT